ATATATGAATATATCTCAGTAAACCAAGGGTCCTGGAGGATCACTCCACCCAATGGCTCACTCAAATGTGCAACAGTAATAATACAAATATAATAGAGCATACATCAATACGGCAATACGATAACACAGCAATATAGCAATAATCTACTGGCCAGAGATACAGGTATAATCACACATATACCAAATAACATGTCACAATGCATGATCATATTATAGCACATATCATTACAACCAACAACTTCCAACCACTACCCCAATGGGCATGGTGGAGCACACACGGGGATTAACCCCAGTACCAAGGGTTTACCTGTTAGAAGCTCCCAAGCTAGGTAGCTTCAAGAGTTAGTCCTCTACAATCATGTCCGAGGGAGGCCACCTACAACGATCACATACGCATGATCATCAACTAACTTGTCCAATAAGCACAAACAAATAACATAATGCAATCGCTCCATCACACTATAAGTTCGCCCACAAGGCCAAAAATGTTACTCAATGTGTTTTAATTACACCCAATCAACTCTATGGTTACACAACCTTTCTCAACACCAATACAATCCTCATTTACCTTACATTATCACTTAGCACCATGTTCCCCTAATCATTCCCTCTATGCCGAAATACATATCAAGGGGGATAAGGTTTTCCACTCAAGTCATATGCATTACACACTTATTATACCTTATTATTAATTATTCAAGGCATCCATAACTCATTTACACCATTCCTCAACAACTTATTTTTATAATAAATCCTAGTTCATCCATCAAAATTTGTCTAAGTTACCAAACTTTATACTAATAATTTTTATTGGTTCAATCATCATCATTCATCATTGTGAGCATAAACTTCCAAATGAACACTACTATTACATGCCTCCAACTACCTCAATCAACTCACACATTCAAAAATTATACCTATTTTCAATCCATCATCAAATTAAGTCAAGAGTTGGGATACTTATCACAAATGATCTCCAAGGACTCCTAGGATGTGTTTTCAGGCATCAAAGCAAGTCAAGCCACCTCCAATGGCCCACCAAAACTTCAAAATCGTCACTTTCTTAAGGGGGAATCTCTTCACACAGTGTTCCCCACTTGAAAATAAGGGTAGCAATGTGTTCCTCTCGAAATTTTACACAAGTTTGGCTTTGGAATCGTTCGAATTTCGTTGAGTGTAGCTTGAATTATGAATTTCTCATGTTTTAACTCTTTTCTTCAGTGGTGGAAGGGGGCTGCGGGTTTTTGAAAGGGAAAAGGAGGAAGATGATGCACTCTCACAATTGGACCTGTGCCCTAATATCCCACTTAAATGAGGTAAGCCCCACAAGTGTCACCTCACTTAAAATCACTTAATCACCACTAATCTTCAATTAACTCTCGAATCATCCAATTAATTCATGTCCTAATCATCATTCTAACATTCAGCAAAGTGATTTAATAACTACCCCCAACATTATTTTTGGGTTTCCAACAACTTTTTCCAAACTACATTTTTCTTCCAAAAATAACTACATGACGTTCCTAACCTAGGAACGTTGTTCCCACTATGAGAACTCTGTTCTCCTTTTTGGAAACAACCTACTGAATATTTCTCCCACCATGGGAACGTCGTTCCCCCTTTGGGAACAACTTACTGAATACCATTCCCACCACGGGAACGTCCTGCTGAATGGCGTTCCCACTCCGGGAACGACCATTATTCATCAATTTTTCCAAACAGTGTCTATCCACTCCAAATTTCATTCTGAATCCATTTCTATAAATAGTTTCATCAAATCAAATCTAATTTTATCATCTCACAGGTTAGGATTACGTATTTACCATTTTACCCTTCGTGTGTATTTTTACTCAGATTTTAAGATTTTTACTAAATAAACTCTCTAACCAACAATTAAACCTTTAATATTGGATTTCAAATATGTGAGGTGTTATAGCCGACCATTGACGCGGTCGAGGTACTGGTTCATTGGTTCAATTAGTGGATCACTAATTCAATTGCATGACCCAGTAAGTATATGCAAATCTATAATTTATATTAAAAAAACTATAAACATACTCAAATACCTATAAAAAAATACTAATTTCAAATATTTTAATATGAAAAATAATAAATCACACATTATTACCCAATAAAGAATCAAACAAACCTATAATTATTGTGATACTGGTTCTTCTTGAGGTTCAATAGACGACATCTCTAGTTATAAATTAAATCAAAATTCCTTGCATAGTGCATAACCAAGATAATATTAATGTTTTAGGTATATAACATATATAAGTCAATAAGCAACAAATCACTTATATTTTAAAAGAAAACAAGTCATTTGTGAATTTAAAAAAAATGATATCCTTTATGAATTTTTATTTTTTTGAAACAATTTTTTTTATGAATTAGGTCAGGTCACCGGTTGAACTGATCGGGTCACCGATTTTTTCAAAAATCGGACTAGTCGTACCTGTTCTGTTGCTTGGTCAATCCAACATGAAAACTGAACCGATCATATGATCGGTTTACCAATTTTCGAGTTGACTCGGCCAAACCGATCCGATTTTTTCAACATTGGTTCAAACCCCACTAGTTGTTACATGTGAAATAATTCTATTAAATTATATAATAAATATATTAAATGGTGCATTTTAACCAACATCTAAATATAGGTAAGTGCTATATTTGTCATTCTCATGATAATGGTTCAACTCCCAAATGTTGATATGTGAAATATTTTTCCATTCACCGGGTTGATACTGGGTCAATGCAATATCAGATCCATTGCTTGAACCGCTCCAATTTTAATAACAATGCTTCATGATTTGGTTGTCGTAGTATTGGGTTACTAGTTTAAAAATGAAAGGAATAATTAGAGAAAACTGCTTAATTATTAAACAAATTTTGTAATATTAGATGCATGTTTTGCTATTTATTGAAAATTGTGTGTAAATTTTAATAGGACGCTGCTTTTTATAGAAGCGATATGGACGCAAAAATTAGGGATGTGCATAGGTCGAACCGAATCGGATTTTTTGAAAAACCAAACCGAATTGGTCTAAATGGTTCGGTTCGAAAGTGGTTCGGTTCGATTCAAAATTGGTTCGATTCGGAAGTGGTTTGGTTCGGTTTGGAACCGGTTCGGGTCGACCCTTTTTTGAAAAGAAGAAAAATTTAAAATTTAAAAAATAAAGTTATAAAAGTTAATTTGGTTTGGTTTGAAAATTGTTCGGCTCGGTTCGGAAACAGTTCGGTTCTTAAACCGGTTCTAAAAACCGCTTCTAAAAATTGGTTCGGTTCATGAACTGGTTCTTTAAAAACCGGTTACGTTCATGCTGATTTTAAAAAATCGATTATTTTAAGGGGCGGTTCGGTTCGGTTTATGGTTTGGTCCAATTTTTTGGTTATTTTGCACACCCCTAACAGAAATTGTGTGTAAATTTTAATATGACAAATGTTTTACGAAAGTGATTCTAAAGTGAAAATAGCTATTTTCAAGTCATATTCGCCCAACCCCAACCATATTTGCTTAGTGCTAATACTAAGCAATGAGTGCAAATAAGTGTTGTTAAAATAGGACAATTATAGACTTTTCAACTTATTTAACCATAAATCCAGCACTCAAACAATGATAATTTAATTATATAGCTAAATTGATGATCAAATTATTTTTGATCAGATAAAATTTATGATGCACCGACACTGACACGGGACACGACACGCAACACGCTAATTTTAAAAAATGTCATATTTCGACACGTTGAGACACGTTTTGATATTAAATAATATTTTTAATATATATAATATAATATATATTTAATACATATAATAGCCCATAATAAATCATATAATCAATCAAATATTCAAATTTTATAACATAAATTTAAACAAAAATAATTTTTTATACCTTGCTAATTTTTCATGTCAAATTTCATAACAGAAAAAAATTGATTTATAATTTTTTTATATTTAGTTAATAAAATAAAATTAAGATCTAAAAAAAAAAACATATCGGAGAGTGTCGAAAAAAATTGACTACGTTTCGAAAAAATGTGTCAAAACATTGACCGTGTGTCTGTGTCCGACACGCATTTTTTAAAACAAATCGTGTGTCCGTGCTTCGGTGGTTAAAATTAGTAAAAACTTAATTAAACCAACCTATTTATCAAGTTATATTTCATAAACATTTTTATATATTTCATAGTATTTAATATAAATTATTTTACATCGTTCAATTAAATTAGTCAGACTAAATAATTAAACTGATTGAACCAAACAGAAAGTCTCACCTAGTCATTATCTGAAATGATTTGTAACAACATTGATGCAAATTGATAGGAAGGAATAATATGAGGACATAAGTTTAGATGATTCACACGTTTGTTGTGATGCCAATATATGACAATTACCTTGCCCACATGTTCACGACCCCGAAATCCAAATTCAACCATAAAGGGCAAGTACTATCTTGATGCCATATTTAAGCAACAATTGCAATCATGTTTCCATGTACAACATTTGGAACCGAAGATGCTATAAAATTGAGGAGGTACCATTGATAACAAGGCTTTTGTAGGAATAAGTTAAAATCAATCAATTCTCTATCATTTTCAGTTTGTATGTCCCAAAAAAATTTCTATATCACTCATAACATCTGGCCAAAATTTCTCTTAACTTTTCATTATAAGTTTTTCGGAAAACAAAATGAGTTAATCCAATAAGGAAATAATTATATCACTGCTGATGCAATGGCTTGAAACAGTCTTCGTAACACCTTTGTGACCATTGTGATACCTCGGACGAAAATTTATTAATTTATTCAAAACTGTTAACAAATTTTAAAATAAACCTTTATTAGACAGCCAAGGTACAAATTTTTTAATAAGAAAATAACAAAAAGATCTGTTGACAAAATATTTATCATGAAGGAAATCTACAAAGAATCACAACATTTAATTCTTTCTTGCTTATATTTTAATCAAGACTTTTGTAAATTTCCAATTTTCCTTTGATCTCTCTCTCTCTCTCTCTCTCGGACATAAACTTGGAGTAGGTGGTAAATAAAATCAATGGTGAAAAGTAGTAGTTATACCACAGCAGAGAACAAGCTTGACTATGTCTTGGATCCCTGTCAAGCTTGACAATTTACCTTGCTTTTCATTGTTTAGTCTAATATGTAGTTGTCTCATCCAATAGGTAGCCAGGCATATCTCATAGCTGCAGATTACAGAGGAGCATTCTTGCACAAAATTTTGTCATTCTTCAGTAGATATGCACGAAACTGCAAATGAAATTATAGTCCTGAAGACCTAACCTTTTCATCCTTAGAAAAATGAAAAATTCGTGCTAACAATAATAAACTAATTCCATTACCTGAGTCCCTTGGATTAGTTTCAAAGAGGGCTTCAATCTGAAATAGAAAAACATATTTTTGAATTCTAACCTAAAATGATTAGAAACTACCAAAGTAAGAACTATTTTGCTCAGTTAAGTTGATACCTCAAAGAAAGAAGCAGCTTCTCTAATGTCTTCCAATTATGTCTCCTTGAGTCAAAAATTAATTACCATCCAATTAAATTGCTTGACCAAATTCTGGCCAGAAACCAGACTCCTCCAGGAAATCTAGAGATTGTATGTCAAGTTTCACTGATGCAAATTATAATGTATTGGATTTCCGGCCTCCACCCCAACGGTGTTGTCTGGCCCTCCTTTTCCTCCCATCCTTTTTCTCCATAGCCTTTTCTTTCAAGTCCCTTTCCCCTCTCCGTTTATACATCTTGAAAGTGATCTTCCTATCAGCAGCCATTTTCCTTACCTTCTCTGTGATCTCTGCTGCAAATTCCCTGTTATACAATTTCCTCAAACCACGCATAAGCTTTGCAAAAGTATCTGGCTGTGGCATTAAATCATTATCCATCATGTCTATACAGAATGAACAAGCCTCCTTCACATGTCCTTTTGAAAAGAGTGCATGAATCCAGATTGTCCACGCACTCACATTCAGCTCACAACCTTTAGAAGTTGTGATACAATTCCAAGTATCTTTGGCCATTTCAAGCTTCTCAGCTCTTAAAAGAGAATTCATCAACTCCTTCAAGGTGCCATATTGAGGAGTGGCAAAAAGCCCCCTCCCAACCATCTGTTTGAAATGCTCACAAGCTTCAACTAGACAACCTTGCTCAAGAAACCCATTAATCATGATGACAAAGGTGTCAATGTCTGGATTAAGTCCACTTGCTTCCATTTCATTCCAAAGCCGAACACCTTCCTTAACCTCTCCCAACTTGCAAGCCAACCTAATGACTGTATTATAGATGTTAAGATTGGGAGTGCAACCAACCTTCTGCATCTCATTCACTAGTTCCATACACTCTTCCAGTTCTTCCTTCTTTTCATGGGCCATCATGATATACTGATAAGTCAGCTGATTTGGGGAATGGCCTTGCTGTATCATCTGATCCAAAAGCTCATAACCCTTTTTTATTTTTCCCCACTTGCAAAACCCACTTATCAAAGTGGTATAAGTTACAGTATCCACCTCACAACCATTTCTCTCCATCTCAACAAATATCCGCATTGCCTCCTCCATTTTTTCATGTTTACAAAGTGACTGGATCAAGATTGTGTACGAGGTTGCATTTGGTTCACAACCTATCCTTCTCATCTCTTTCAAAAGGTCATAAGCATCCCCCATTTTCCCAGCTAGAGCATACCCACTAAGTAAATTGTTATAAACCACAATATCTGGTTCAATGCCTACATCCTTCATCTGAACCAACACGTGTTTCGCTTCCATAAGCTTCCCTTCTCTACACCAACCATACAACAGCGAAGTAAAATGCTTGACAGTCGGTGGAAACCGAAATCTCATGTCCTCAAAAAGTGAAGCTGCTTCCTTAATGCTACCATTCTTGCACAATGCATCCAACAAACACCCAAAAACATATTCATCTGGCTCGCACCCATACTTAGGCATTTCATCCAACACTTCAATAGCCTTCTGAACCATCCTTGCAGAAGCAAACCTCCTCATCAAAATAACAAACACTTGTGGTGAAATTAACTGAGGATTCTCTTGCCTCATTTCTTCAATGAGTGCCCAAACAGCACCGAATTGCCGCATTTTCCCCAAAACCTTAATTATAGCTTTGTACACTTCCTGACTATGCCGATAATTCGATTGCTTAGAAGCCCAAGCAAAGAATCTATATGCCAAATTCCCAGCATCACCACAACGATTTAACACACGCTCAGTTAATCCAGGCCTCATAACAACCCCAGATTCTTTCAAAGCAAGCTCTAATTTAGGAACCCTTGAATGGAATTTTCTCAATATTCTATAAATCTTTTCCACATCAGAAGTAAACTCATCATAGCTTTGGTCGTTTATGTGTTTAACTGGACTAGATTCAAGGCGAATGAGACCAAACTGGCTTGTTAAGCCACTTTTTATGGTGCTACTATCAAATTTAGAGGATTTTTCGTTTGTTGGAGAAGGTAAAGAGGTTTCAGAAGAACTTACCTCAAAGCTAGTAGAGAAGAGCTGAGATACAATATTTTCGTGTCCAATAATTACCAATGGTTTTCTCAAAATCCTTGCTTTTGAGAACAGCATTGTTTTTGCCAAAAATCTCTGCATGTTGTTTTGAAGTTTCTGTCTTTTCTGTATGCTCAAATTCAAAATCTGCTATCAGTAAAACCCTTTATTTTACTGCATTTTCCTGCAACCCCAGGAACAGTAAGTTGAAGCTGACCTTCTTTATCAAATAAGGATAGTTGGGGGGATCTTGATTTTGGATGCGAGATGGGAGAAATGAAGAACCTGGGTATGAACGAAAACGGCGAGAGTATATAAGATAAAACTCAAGCTAGGGAAGAGGGATAAATCGAGAAAGTCTAATGAGAACGGAGGACGACGCTGCTGCCAAGAACGGATGAGAACCAATTACCAAATTTCAATGTTTTAATTTTAGGGTTTTACTCCTGGATTATAATTGCGTCATTTAAATTTTATCTAGCGATTTAAGAATAGGGAACGGATCCACTTACTACCAAAAAAGTTTACTTCTCTTACAACTAGTTTAATCATTCGTCAATCTAACGATTATAATTTATTGAGAATTAATAATTAATTGATAAATATGACCCAATAAATATTATTAATTTTTCAATAAATTATAACCGTTAGATTGACGGAAATCAAGCAAAAAAAATTAAAATATTACTATTTTAATAAATAATTACGAATACATAGTTGTTTCGAAATTATATACGGATCTATTGCACTCATTCACGTCCAAATTAGGTGTGATTATTCATGCCCAAATTAGGCGTGAATCATCTGGTGTTAACACATGGCAAAAAGAGTCAACTTACGAACCGTAAAGCTTTGAAAAGCCATAACTTTTGACTCGGGTATCCGAATAAGGTAATTCTTTATTTGATTCCACATAACTTTTCGAGATCTACCCAATGACATCTAGTTTAATATATTTTATCTCTCACAAACACAATTTAAATTTGCAATAATTGTATTATATTTTATTAAACAGCTATGTATTACCAAAATAGTAATTGCAATAATTTAAACAGCTATGTATTCGTAATTATTTATTAAAATAGTAATATTTTAATTTTTTTGCTATTATATAGTGTATTACCAAAAAAATTTAAAAAATTATTATTAATAAGAAAAATTATATAATTAAATAAATATTCTAAACACTTGGTAGAATATTATATAAATTTGTATATATTTTAATAATTAGATAAATAACCTTGTACACTATTTTTTTTCAAACACTTGGTAGAAATATATATTTTAATATGACATTAAGTATCCTTATTTATAGATGAGTTAATCTACTTTGGTGTCATATTTATAGTGTCATTATTGCAAATTTGAATTGTGTTTGTGAGAGATCTCAAAAAGTTATGTGAAATCAAAAAAAAAATTACCTCATTCGGATACCCGACTCAAAAATTATGGCCTTATAAAGTTTTACGGTTAAACTATTAATTTTTTGTGCCACGTGTCAACACCAGACAAGTCACGCCTAATTTAGGCGTGAATGCCCTGGGAGTCACGCCTAACTTAGGCGTGAATAGTCACGCCTAATTTGAGCGTGAATGAATGCAATAGATTCGTATATAGGTTCAAAACAACAACTTATTGGTAATTATTTATTAAAATAGTAATATTTTAATTTTTTTACCAGAAATCAACAATTATATTTATGGAAAAAAAAAGTTGGTAATTTTAGAGTATATAAATTTTGTGTTATTTTATATTCTAATCATTGATTTTCGTTAATCAACGGTTATAATTTATTGGCTCAAACTTATTAATTAATTAGTAATTCGTAATAAATTATAACTGTTGAATGACAGAAATCAACGGTTAGAATTTAACATGACACAAAATTATATCATTTATAAAAATAAATTTTTTTCCTTTATTTATAATTAAAAATATTAATAGTAATATCACTATTTTGTATGAAATAATTATATAAATTCTGATGTCCTGTGATAATTATATATTCGTAGTAGTTTAGGAAATTACTTAACTTATTATATTTTATATTGCTATTGGGTTTTAAATTTTGGCTGCAACGTAATTATAACTACATTAACTTTATTTTCTTGTATATTTAATAATCTTAGCATAATTACAACTACAGTTTAAAGTTATAATTATTGCACATCTATTCTCTAAAATAATTCACTTCGTTTATAACTTCATAGTTTTTACAATTTTGAGTAAATACTATTTTTGGTCCTCAGCAAATTTCACGATATCCGCTTTAGTCCCTAGCAAATAAAAAGGTTGGCTACTTATGTTTATCATTGATGTGGGTTTAGTCTAAGGTCATACAACTTCAAGGGTTATGAGTTTGGGCCATTAAGGCCATTACTTGGAGTGGTTCAACCCATTAAGTTTTGGGCCTTTAGATTATTTAATCATGCTTAACTTGGGCTATTTACATATGACTATCATTAATTCATTTGGTCCACACAAGACTCATTAATAAATGTGGCTACATAATTTAGGGTTATTACAAGTATCCCCTTCCGCGTATTTGATCTATTAGATCAACTGAATGATGCTTGTGTATATTCAAAGATAGATCTTCGGTCCGGATACCATCAGATTCGGGTGAAGCCGGAGGATGTCCCGAAGACCGCGTTTCGTTCGAGATACGGTCACTATGAGTATTTGGTGATTCTTTTTGGACTCACAAATGCACCCGCAGTGTTCATGGATTACATGAACAGGATTTTCCAGCTGTACCTGGACCAGTTTGTGATCGTCTTCATTGACGACATATTGATTTACTCCAAGACGGAGGAAGATCATGATGAGCACTTGAAGATTGTGTTGCAAGTACTGAAGGAGAAAAGGCTTCATGATAAGCCTTCCAAATGTGAGTTTTGGCTCAAGTCCGTGAAGTTTCTTGGGTATCTCATTTCTGCAGAAGGAGTTGCAGTGGATCCGAACAAGATTGAGTCCGTTCTTGATTGGGAGAGGCCCAAGATGGTAACTGAAGTGAGGAGTTTTCTGGGTTTGGCAAGTTACTACCGGAGGTTCATCCAGGGATTCTCCATGTTGGTTCTGCCAATGACTCGCCTTACCCGGAAGGAGACTCCATTTGTGTGGACTCACGAGTGTGAGGAATGTTTTCAGGACTTAAAGAAGAGACTGACTACCGCACCTGTGTTGGTTCTTCCTGATCCTGCTGAGGAAGTCGAGCTTTACACCGACGCCTCCGGAAAGGGGCTCGGATGTGTGTTGATGCAGTTGGGCAAAGTGATTGCCTATGCTTCGAGGCAGTAGAAGCCTCATGAGGAGAACTACCCGACTCATGATTTGGAGTTGGCTGCTATTGTGTTTGCTTTCAAGATTTGGAGGCATCATCTTTATGGCATGAAGTTTGTTGTGTTCAGTGATCACAAAAGCTTGAAGTACTTGTTTGATCAGAAAGAGTTGAACATGAGACAGAGAAGATGGATGGAGTATCTGAAGGACTACGACTTTGAGTTAAAGTACCATCCTGGCAAGGCCAATGTGGTAGCTGATGCTTTGAGTCGGAAATCTGTGAGTCTATCCAGTTTGACCATGGGTGATTTTGACATCATTGAGCAGTTTCGAGATCTGATGGTGACTTCCTTGTTTGGGGGTGCACTTCTCGAAATGGAAACCGTACAATGGAGAACGAGCTCATGGAAAAGATCAAAGAGGCGCAAGTGCAGAGAGAGTGCCTAGATTATGTGAAGAACCAGGACGGAGTGTCTTGGAATGAGGATGGAATGTTGACCTTTCAGAAGAGGATTGTGGTTCCTCGACGTCCGTTGACTGTTGAGGTGATGACAGAGGCTCATAAGGGCCAGTTTACTGTCCACCCTGGTGCTACAAAGATGTATCAGGACTTGAAAAGGAACTATTGGTGGCCAGGCATGAAGAAGGACATTGCTGTTTTTGTGTCCAAGTGCTTGATTTGCCAGAAGGTGAAGATAGAACACCAGAAGCTGTCTGGTAAGCTTCAACCTCTTGAGATTCCGAAATGGAAATGGGATAGCATTTCCATGGACTTCGTGGTGGGATTGCCGAAGACTCAAGCTGGTTATGACTCTATCTGGGTCATTGTGGACAGATTGACCAAGTCTGCCCACTTTCTTCCGGTGAAGGTGAGCTTCACTACTGAGCAATTGGCCAGACTATATGTTCGCGAGATTGTGAGACTTCACGGGGTGCCTGAGAGTATCATTAGTGATAGGGACCCAAAGTTCACATCTCGGTTCTGGGAGGCGCTGCAGGAGGCTTTTGGTACGCAGTTGAGACTGAGTACATCTTATCACCCTCAGACTGACGGACAGACTGAGCGGACCATCCAGACATTGGAGGACATGCTGAGGGCTTGCACTTTGGAGCAGGGTTCAGCATGGGATAGGTACCTGCCATTGGTTGAATTTTCATACAACAACAGTTTCCATGCTAGCCTGGGCATGGCACCCTACAAGGCGTTGTATGGTAGGAGGTGTCGGACTCCTACCTGCTGGTCTGAGGTTGGAGATAAGGAGTTTTTTGGTTTGGACTTTGTCCAAGATACCACCCTGCAGATAAAGTTGATCAGGGAAAAATTAAAGCAGGCGCAGAATCGCCAGAACAGTTACTACGATGTGCGGCATCGCCCACTGGAGTTCAGTGAGGGTGAGCACGTGTTTGTGAGACTTTCACCTGTCACCGGTGTTGGTCGGGCACTTGGAGTGAGGAAGCTGAGCCCGCGGTTCATTGGGCCATATGAGATACTTGGTAGAGTAGGACCTGTTTTCCCACCGGCTTGCCTTGCCTCGGAACTTGGCCAACATCCACGACGTGTTTCACGTGTCTCAGCTTCGCAAGTATGTAGCGGATCCTTCGCTCGTGGTGCAACCGGATGATGTGGAGGTTCGAGAGAACCTAAAGACTCCTGTCGGACCACTCAAGATTCTCGACCGAGGCGAGAAGCAGCTGAGGAGCAAGATCATTCTGATGTCAAAGTGCAGTGGACCGGAAGAACTCCTGAGGAGTGCACTTGGGAGCGAGATGACGAGCTTCTCCGGCAGTATCCTGAC